CAAGACGACAAAGAAAAACCAGGAAAAGCTATCAGTGCCATCTTGTGGAAAGACCTGTATTAAAATGTCCAAGGTAATCTGGCCACACCCAGACCCTGTGGAAGCCTCCACACTCAGTGCTGATGACCATCCAAGAGAGAGCAGGATGGCTTCCCTATTTGTTCACAGTGATGGAGCTGATTGGTGGAGGGTCTGTTCTGATAGCTTGCTTCCTCTGCCTTGGGCAGTTATTAAATCATTTGTCTATCATCTCTAACTATACGGATACCACATAAACCCCCATACCTCCAACACACACACACACACACACACACACACACACACACACCACACTCAAGCTGTTCAGCCTCTATCCTCTACACAGCACCGCTCTCTAAACATGGGATATTTGCACTGATCTATCACAGCGCCTCATCCTCAACAAACGTGGACACACTTGGACCACAACTGTTTATGGTATAACTTTTTCTTGTAAAAACAAATCTGATTTTATTTCACCTCTTGAGTTGATTCAAAATTGCTTCTCTTCTTTTCTTCTATCTGAATAGTTCCCCTTGTATTAGTTACCTATGGCTGCAAAAAAATCACACCCAAATCTGATGGCATAAGAAATAGTATTTATCTCCCAGTTTCTGTGGGTTGGGAATTTGAGAGCAGCTGAGCTGGTTGGTTCTGGCTTAGGGAACCCATGGGGTTGCTGTCAAGATGCTGGCCATCTGAAGTTGTGATGGGGCTGGACGATCCACTTCCATAGCTAGCTCCCTCACATGATATTGCCATGAAGCCTCAGTTCCTCACCACGTGGATCTCTCCAGAAGGCTCATTGAGTGTCTTCACAACATGGCAGCTGGCTTCTCCAAGGCAGAAGCCACAGTGTCTTTCATGATTTAAGAAGTCATATGCCATCACTTCCATAGAATCCTGCTGGTTACACTTCTGTCAGTGTGGGAAAGGACTAGACAAGGAAGGAGGTGGCTCACTGGGGCCATCTTGGAGGCTGGCATCACACCATCCCTTCTTAAACCCAGTCACCAAATCATCAGGTTCCAGGTATGAAATGTGTTTACACAAAGGAAGAGCAGCATACTTAAGATGCTGAGAATTCTAACTGTAGTCCAAGGGCCACAGGAACCCAGCCCAAGCAGTCCTTTGCCTCGAGGGGACACCGAGGCTTACTTGGAGCAAGGAATTCTCTGACTCTGGCTTCATTTCTGCCACTGACATCGAGCCAGTCAGGGAGCTGGGATCTCAATGTGAAAGAGAAGTGGGTCAAAACATTTTTATGGACTGAGGAAGGGGAGCTAGGGTAGGTTGCCCCAAAACTGTTCTGTTGAGCTTGTCAATGAAAGTTAGTTCTAATATATTTTTAATTTTTATTTTTTTAAATTGTTTATTTTTGAGAAAGAGAGATAGAGAGAGAGTGGGGGAGGGGCAGAAAGAGGGAGACAATCCCAAGCAGGCTTCCTGACCTCAGCGCAGAGCCTGATGTGGGGTTCGAACTCACGAACTGTGAGACCATGACCTGAGCCAAAACCAAGAGTTGGATGCTTAACTGACTGAGCCACCCAGGTGCCCCAGTGAAAGTGACTTATAGGATTTCACAATGGAGAGAACAAAATACAAGCCAGGAAGACCCCTGTCTTCATAGGACTTTCTGGTGGTTCTAACCCATGCTTATCTTTCCCCCACTGACTTCCTTTGTGCTTGTTATTTTTACTGCACAATTAACTTTTTAATATATATTATCTGATTATCTTCGATGAGTAATTTAATGCTTTAGTATATGTTACGAGAACAATTACATTTGAGTCTAAATCCTCGCAAGTATGTTGTAAACTCCTTCAAGCCGGGGAAATTAAGCTTATTGCTCAGCTCACCATCAGTGTCCACAGAATGTTCTCCAGGAATATGTCCCCCTCCACACACTCTCACACGCGTTCACATACACACGCAATCATACACGCGCAAACACACACAACAGGAAAGGAGCTCTAAGAGAAGCAAGGCTTATTTATCCTTTTTTACAAAAATAGTAATTAGACTTAGCCAGGATCATACTGACACATGCATTTTTTCCTTAAAAGCACACACATAAAAAATATACTGTAAGAAGATGCTACACAATACCGAATACAGTCCTCAAATTCATGTGATTAAGAAGAGACCCATCAAGGGGCACCTGGGTGGCTCAGTTGGTTAAGCATCCGATTTCGGCTCAGGTCATGATCTCACGGCTAGTGGGTTCGAGCCCCGCGTCGGGCTCTGTGCTAACAGCTCAGAGCCTGGGGCCTGTTTCGGATTCTGTGTCTCCCTCTCTCTCTGACCCTCCCCTGCTCATGCTGTCTCTATCTCTCTCAAAAAAAAAAAAAAAAAAAGAAGAAGAAGAAGAAGAGACCCGTCATGCATTGTCACACAGTCCTGGAGACTCACACAGGCCCCCAGAAACGTGTCTTCATGGTCTTGCCTATGCATTCTCTTTTTTGTCCCCATTCATTGGTCCACTTAACATTTTTGAGCACTGTGTATCAGACTCTGTCTTAGATCTGTGGAATCCAAAGATGGAATTCAAAGACGGGATGATGCAGTCTTGGCTCCAACACAAAGAGGTAACCACTTCCAATAAAATAACTGCTGCCTGGGAGTACATATTTACACAAGGTGAGAGGTGAACACCGAAGAAAGCATAAATCTTCCTGAGGATCAGGTAACACCTTACAGAGGAGAACGGAAAGGAAGACCAGTGTGGGGCGGGGATGGGGGCACGCAGGGCACTACCGTGGTTAGGTGGCAGAGGTCTGGGCCAGGAAACTGTCACAGATGGGTCTTCCTTTCAATTTGAGACTCCCCAGACCCAACACAAAAAGTTAAATGGCACCCTCGGCCATGGGACACAGCCCAAGGCAGGGATCCTGGGCCCTTTTCACTAGGGCTCTGTTGTATGGGAGGTCACAGCTGTAGAGGAAAAAGGAATTCCTACAGTCTTTCCGGAAGAGGGCCCAGGCAGGTGGACGGATGCCCTCCAACCCCATGCAGAGACCTGCACAAGCGGAGAGTCACTGTCAGGGGATCAGGGGAGAAGAGAAATCTGTCTTCCCCAGAAATGGCTCTGGAGAAGATAGGCTTTGACGTAGATCTCAAGGAGATAAGGAAGGGGTACAGGGTGGTGGGGAGTGATATGGGAAGTTTCTCTCTGATGAGTGAAGGCAGCAACGACAGGAGAGCAAGACAGAGGGACTAAGAAATGTTCAACCCAGGGGGGCCCTGGAGACTTCTCTCCAGAGTCAGTGCAGCCAGAAGCCCTGGGGAGCCACAGCAGGCAAGGAGGGGATGGAATGGGTGGGGATGGGCAAGAAGAGTGATCAGGAGTTGGTAGGAAATGTGGGGCAGGGCAGCGGGTGGGGGGAAGGAGAGGTGGCTCAGCTCCTGGCATCCAGCGGCCAGGGAAGGGAGAGGCAACGCTGAGCGTTGTGTGCATTTTCCACAGGGTGAGTGGAGCCTCTGAACTTTGGGGGAAGAAAGTTCCTTTCCATTTTGCTGGAATCAGAGCTTTAAATGGCCAAATGTGTGTAACAGGGGCAGGTGGGAACTGGCCATCTTCATGGCCAAGTGTCCTGGGCTTGGGTGGGGACGGGGAGGGGAAGGAGGAGGGGCTTGGCTCAACCGCTCAGCCCAGCCACATACTAGTTGCGTGTCTTCCGCCAGGTTAACCAACTCGTCTAAACCCCAGATTACTCCCGTACAAAAGGGACATAAAAATACCATCCGCATGTTGTTCTTCCAGAAAGCACCTGGCGCAGGGCCCGGCACATAAGCAAATTCAATGAGGGTTGACTATTTTCACAATTATAACGAGGCTGCATTACTAGAAGCGCATTGTCCAAAAGAGGATGTGGACCCGTCAGATCACTGTGCTCAGAGCTAGGTCCCCACCTTCTCTGAGCTAGGCTGATGAACTCTGGTCGCCCCACCGATGGTGACTCAGCCTGGAAGTCATGAAGTATGAAGAGAAATTAATAAATGCTGCAGTTGTTTCACGCAGATGATTTGGGAGTGTGAGGATGGTTATGTGAAGAGGCAGCATCCTTCCATTTAACTTGAGCAAACAAAACTGGGGGGTTAAAGATGTTGGCGCCAGGCTGTCTGGTTTCAAATCCCCAGACATTAGTCATATCGGTGGCGTTCCTGAACCTCTCTGGAGCCTCAGTTTTCTCACCTGTAAAGCAGGGCGCATTAGATTATCCGCGTCGTAAAATTATTGTGGCAGTTAAATCAGTTACTACAAGCAAAGTGCTTAGAACACTGGCATATAGCAAATGCTCAATAAACGGTAATTCTTATGCTGTGGGTTGTTATTATCATTGGACTATAATTACTACCCGGGTAAGATTTCAGGGCACCAGATGGCAGCGCCGTATTTTTTTAAATTCCAGAGATAGAAAATGAGAACAGTCCCCGCGCGGCGGTGATCGCCCCTGCTGGACGGGTTCACCAAGTCACTGAAGAGACCAGTCGGTCACCATAGAAGAGGTTCCTCCCCCGAGGCAGAAGGAGATCCGCCGGATGTCCACAGTGAAGAAAGATGCCACCAGGCCAGGCCCTGGGGCTGGAGGGACCGGGGACACTGGTGTAATAACTGCCACCGGCCGCCAGGGAGCAGCAGAGCCCGACCCCGGGTGGCCTCGGGCGCGGAACGCAATTCATCCTTGGCTCTAGGTGCCTCCGGCTGTTTGGGTAGCTCCACCAATCCCCGTGCGCACCGCTGCGGTAATCCCGCCCATCACCGGCTACTCAACCAATCAACGAACGCGCTGCTCGGGACCGCGGCCGACTCGCGGCGCCCGTCTGGTGTCTCAGAGCCCGGCTCCGGCGCCCCAGCCCCGCCCCCGAGGCGGGTGGGCCAATCCCCGCGGCGGAACAGGGCGTCGCCAGGCGGGGCGCGGAGCCCACGTGGTACCGGGCGCGGGTGGGTGGCGCCGGGCTCCGGTGGCGGGCGGGGCAACGAGGGGCTGGCGGGGTCGCGCGCCCTGCGGCCGCCATGGGTGTGCAGCCCCCCAACTTTTCGTGGGTGCTCCCGGGCCGGCTGGCGGGGCTGGCGCTGCCGCGGCTGCCCGCGCACTACCAGTTCCTGCTGGAGCAGGGCGTGCGGCACCTGGTGTCCCTGACGGAGCGCGGGCCCCCGCACGGCGACAGCTGCCCCGGCCTCACGCTGCACCGGCTGCGCATCCCGGACTTCTGTCCGCCGGCCCCCGAGCAGATCGACCGCTTCGTGCGGATCGTGGACGAGGCCAACGCTCGCGGGGAGGTCAGCGGGCAGGGAGGGGCCTGCGAGGGTCGGGGCCGGGCACAAAAAGCCTGCAAGGGTCGGCGGGACGCAGGGCTGTGGCGGGCAGGGAGGAGCTGGTCCGGGACTGCGCGGGGACAGGGCGGGGCTGGGCAGGGAGGGGCCTACAGGGGTCAGCGTAGGACGACCTCAGGGGTGGGGTGGGGGACAGGGAGGAGCCCGCGGGGGACTGGGCGGGGCCGGGCAGGGAGGGACTTCGCTTGGCTCTGGGAGCAGAGGGGGCGCCCAGGGGCCAGGACGTGCAGACAGGGGCGGGGGCTGCAGAGAAGCAGGAGGGTGGACCCACCGGGGCGACATGCGGGTGGAAGGCAGAGGCTGGCGAGCGCTCTCCAGAGCCACTCTTAGTACAAATATACCGAAGCCATATTTGTAATCTTATAGTTTCTAGCAACCACATTTTGCAAAGGTAAAGAAGAATCAGGGGAAACTCGTTTAGATGATGTAGGTTAACCCAGTAAGTCAAAAATATTACCATTTCAACATATAATCAATATAAATTCTTCATGAGATATTTTAATACTTTTTGTACCATGTCTTCAAAACTTGGCTATACCTTATGTCACATCTCAATCTGGACCAGCAGCCGCCTGGTGCTCAGCAGCTGCACGGGGGGCCCGGGGGGCTTCTGCACAGGACAGCGCAGGCAGAGGGTTGTGGGCAGGCCGGCCAGGAGGCAGGCACTTGAACCAGCCACTTGAGAGGTGATTGGCAACCTCTAAGCCACCATGTACAGGACAGCCTTCCCTGACTCTGATGTCACTTCTCGGGACCCTGCGAGCCTGGCCCAGAAGCAGCAGCTGTAGGGAGAAGCAGAGGGGTGTAAGGGCAGGGCAGGGGAGCATTGGGAGGGTTGGGAGGGCCTCAGGCCCCACCCCATCAAGCTCCCTCTTCGCAGGCCGTGGGAGTGCACTGTGCACTGGGCTTTGGCCGCACCGGCACCATGCTGGCCTGCTACCTTGTGAAAGAGCGGGGCCTGGCCGCTGGAGATGCCATTGCTGAAATCCGGCGCCTTCGACCTGGCTCCATTGAGACCTACGAGCAGGAGAAAGCCGTCTTCCAGTTCTACCAGCGGACTAAATAAGGGCCGACACCCGTCTGCCAGGCCCATGCCCTTATCCGCGTGTTCCGTGGGACCAGACGCTCTGACGTGCACTGAGAGCACTAGGCCCTCCCGCTGGTTTGAGGGACTGAATGGCAGATCCCGGCAGGTGGGCCCGACCAAAAAGATGCCGGAGCTGCACTGGTGTGGGGGGCCCTCCGCTGCTTCCCCGAATAAATGACTTCTAAGAGCCAGCTCATGGTGCACAGCACCTTGCAGTGTCCAAAGCATTCCCACATGTCAACTAATTGGAGCCTCACGCTAGCCCTGTGACCCAGGAATGACCTCAGGGCCATTGCTGTGCTTTGGGTGAGGTAGCTAAGGCCCAGGCCCAAGGCCAGACTTCTAGAAAGTAGCAGGTAGGCCAGGACCACGACACATGTCTTTACCCCTAAAAGATGCTGAGACGCTACATGTCCGTTCTCGGGGATATCTCTCCTGGGGAGCTGGTCAGCGAAAAGGCCACAGATCCCCAGCAGCCCAAAGTCTCTGATGCTCAGAGGTCAAAGTGCCCTGTGGACACAACGCCTCAGTTTGGGCCCATCTGTCCCTCGTGTGCCATCTTGTCCGCCCTCTCGAGACAGAGAAGGCCTGGGTGTTGGGCGCACAGTAACCACCATCTCCGGCTTCCCAGGGCCGGGGGTCTCTCACCAGCCTCAGGCTGCTGGGCTCCCCCGGGAGCCCCTGCCGGTGAAGCTGTCCCCCAGCCTCAGGCCCAGGGAGGCTGGAGCCCAGCCAGCCTGGGCGGTTGTGCAGAGAGGGTATTTGATGGTTAGATGAAGGGATTCAGGGCCATGACTCTTTGCGGTGTTTCTCAGATGTTCCCTTTGCTTCTCAGCTGGACACCATTCTAGCAGCTCCAGAGCCTTTGAGACACGGGACGGATGGGGTAGACCAACCAGATGGACTCCTTCTGTTGTAACTTCTGTCTGAATCCCCGTCCTCTGCTGTGTGGCAGGCCAGGCTGGGCAAGGCAGAGGTTCATCGTGGACCACGTACCCAGTGCCGTGTGAACCCGGCCTTGTCAGCTGCGGAGGCTTCCCCGCTGTAAGATGACTGACTCACCGCCGCCTGGGGAAGATGGCGCCCCTGTCCGTGCTGGGACAGCCCTGCCTTCCAGATGCAGTAGACACAGGGAGGAAAGAGGCCAAGGCCCCCTCCCATGATGGACCCCATCCTGTATAGCCTAGGCCAGAGGTGGGCCCCCTCCCCCCACCCCCGCCTTCCACCACCAAGCGCCCTATGCTCTCACGCAGTATTACATTAGCCAGAGTCCGGCCATTGTCTCTGGGGTGGAGACAAGCCGCAAGTTCCAGCTCTACCAACGGGCTGAAAAGGGCGCCTCTCCTCTGAGCTGTATCAGGGGTGAGTAATCCGTTCTTCACCCTGTTTCCTGGGTGCCCACCCAGCCGAGCTGGGCCGCGGGTGGGAGGAACCCCCAGCTCCAGGCCCTCAGGCTGCAACAGAATGGGAAGGGGCACAGAGACAGCGGCCCCGAAGCGCAGACACCTGTCCCACCCGGCCCACCCCCCAGCAGCCTGGGCCTGTTCCTCCGGCAAACCAGAGCCCCCTTCTGCAGGGGAGCGTGTGTGCACGTGCGTGAAGGCAGCAAGCCTGTGGATGGCCCGCTCCCCACACCCCTCCCCTGCTGCCTACCAGGATGGGAAAACAGGGAAGTGGGGGGCTTGAAGTGGCACCCTAGAGCTCACGTCTGCTCTGATCTTGCCCCGCTGGGTCGAACAACCAGTCCTCACACCCCCTGCCCTCCGTTCTCCCGCACTGCATCGTGCCAGACCTGCGTCCTCTGACGGCAGGAGAGGAACCCGGCCTTCCCTTCCTCCCAGGGCTCCTTCAAAGGAGACAGAACATTTTTCTAACCCCATTAGAGCCCCGTGTGCAGCCTCCGTCCCCATAATTTAAGCAGATCTCCGCTGCCTCAAGAGTTCCTCAGGGAAATAAACATATAATTATGTGCTTAAGGAAATCGGTTTTTAAATAAGTAAGAGTTGACTTGAGATGAAAAATTCTGCCCTTATCCTTTCGCCTACCTGGGGAGGTTAGCCCGAGCCGCCTTTTGGGCTCGTCCACACCTCCAGGTATTTGGGGATTGGGAGCAGAGGCCCGCTCACCTCTTCCTCCCGTGACCACCAAGGAGGGATTCCAGGCCTCCTTCTACCTTCACTGAGACGACAGGTGTGAGGAACAAGCCACCCCCACCGACCAAGGGCCTTTGCACCACCTCACACCAGGGCCCCTCGACCTTGGCACTGCTGGGATCTGGGGCTGGACGCCTCTTGGTTGTGAGGCCATCTGTGCGCCCTACGGTGTTTGGCAAGTTCCCTGACCTCTCCACTCAGCAGATGCCAGTAGCGTGCCTACCCCACCCTCAAATGTGACAACCAGAATGTCCTCCAGGAGGAAAAAATTGGCCCCAGTTGAGAACCAGTGCATCAGACCAGCGAGCACCAGATGCGACCATAAGCCTTCCGTTGCTACTGGAACGTGCTTGGGAATTTCTCCTGTGAATGCACACGGCTCGAGGGGGGAGAAAGGACCAGACACCATCAGACACTTCCCTCTGCCCACCCCGCCCCCTTACCCAGTTTCATTCTCCACGACTGTCTGCAGGGCAGAGCTGCAGTGACGTGGACTCGCACGCCCATGTCTTCAAAGTTCACGTTTATTGCCGGGCAGGTGGCTTGCGGGCCCCGCTGGATGGAGGCTGCTGGAAGTGGAGGACATCCTTCCGTGTCATCGGGTTCTGCGGCCCCCACCTCTTCGGTTCCTCTGCCAGAAAGCTGTTCTCGTGCAGGAGCATCCAGAGTCAGGACAGGAGGTGCCCCGGCCGCCGTCTGAGACCTCCCCGGTTCTGGCTCCTCCGCTCCGCCTGCCGCAAGCCCTACGGGGTCCTTCTCCGTGGGGTCTTCCCAGACCACGTGTCCCTACCGCTGAGACCTGCCTGCCTCCTGTCCCCACCGGGTAGGGGCCTGTCCCACGGGGCGGCTCCACGCCCGCCCCCCGCCCCCCCGGAGAAGGAAGTCACTCCTTGCGCACCGCGTCCCCACCCGCCCCCCGGGATTGCCCACGTCTCCCCAGGGGAGGGATGAGCACGTCAGCGTCACGGGGACAGGGATTTGGTCCAGATCATGAGCCATTTCCCAGAATGAACTGCGCTCACGTGCCAAGTGTCAGACCAAAACTCCTGTTGCCCGTGTTGCCATTTTTCCTAAGAAGGAAACTAATGTGGTCTCACGGGATTGTTTTGTCACGAAACAGCATCAGTTACCACTAATGCATTTCACACTTCGTCGTGACGGTGCTTTGCCTGCTTGTATGATTACAACCGTCATATTTATGAAGCGCCGACGATATAGCAGCTGTTTTACATACATCCTGTTGTGCCATTTTAGCCTTACAACCACCCTGCGAATCAGGCATTTTTCCCTTTTTATAGGTAAACTGAGGTGTACAGGGCTGGCTAATGTGCCCAGTGCCTCACATTTGCAGTGACTGGGATCAAACCCAGAAATTCCTCCCTCCCGCGCCAGTCTGTCTTCATGGTCAGAGCCCGGCCTCGAGGGCCATCTTATCAACACAGCCTCCAACGTCCCCTCTCTCCATACTCCGAGGAGGCCAGAGAATCAACTGCATCAGACGCTGAAGCCAATGAATCCAAGTCATGGCTGTTCTTTAAAATGCAGTCCCAGCGTTTAAGTCCAGATTAGGGAAGCCCATGGTCGGCTCACCCTCTGTCACACCTAAAGAACTCATCAGCATGTGATGTCCTCGCCCAGCATGACAATCTACAGGCACATGTGAATGTCACTGAGCCCTTGAAAATATCTGATGACGTGTCTGATAATGTATTAAAAACTTGAATACCCTTTCTGGTTTTGTTTTGTTGTTATTGGAGCCCTTAATGCACGCCAGGCTCTATGCCAAGTGCTTTATAGACATTATCTCAGTTAATCCTCAAAGCAACCCTACGAACAAGGTCATGATAATGGCCTGTGCACATATGAGTAAACTGAGGCCCAGAGAGTTTGAGTAACATACCCAGTTACATAGCTTAGATCAGCATTCAAACCTGGGTTTCTCTATAAATGCCTTGCCTCTTGGGAAAGGAGAGGGGATTTCATCGTCATTGGAAAATACGCAGCAATATCTTGTGTTCTCCAGAAGCAAAGTATTTGGACTTAGAGGCTCCCAGTAGTGCTCTGGGATCACTCTCTGCCTCCACACCAGAGTGGGCAGTGCGGCTCTGTTCTGGAAGTGTTGACCCACCAGACTGGCCAGCACCCCAGCAGGCTTCCGCCTCAAGCCTCTTGCACCATCAAAAATATAGTCCCCTATTGATTTAGAAATGAGTCACATAAGCACCTCTTCCATTACTTTAAAATTTTTCTCTGGCGAGTATGGATTCAAGGCGTACTCTTGAGAAGGCGTATGCTTGTCCAAGCAAGCAGAAACCTGAGAAACACTTGGTGCACGTCTATGCCTCAAGTTGATGACTAATTTGCAACCTTGATAACCAAATCCTCTGTGCCAATAAATTCCTTAAATTGCTTCAGCCACTCTCTCACCCTATTTTTCCCTTGACTTATTCTGTCACCATGGATCTGTGATCACAAAACAAATTGGTGATGTCACCTCTGAGCTTTCAATGTGTGGGATTCGGTATGGCAAACGGTTCTGGGATTCCCCTCCCCTACCTTTTATAATAAAGACACCACTGTTTCTTTCTAGCAGTGTATATTGTGAGTAATGAGTCTGCTCCAAACCCAGGGTGGGACACATGGGAAATAATCGGTGTAGATGTCCCATGTGTGGCACTGCTCACCTCCTGGTGTGGGTTTTATGTGCTACTGGACTCCCCAAGCCCACTCCGAGCAAATTCACCAATTTGCATGTTAGGCACCTTTTGTGAAGTCTACTTACACCTGGGTGCAGCCTGGGGCCATGGAGTAGAATTGAATACAGTAACCACACTGGGATCAAGTCCACTGAGAGAACTATGCCATTTTTGACCATGACCTATGAGGCCCCAATGAATCCAATCCCTTCCTCCATCTCCTTCCTCACCTCCTATTCTTCCCCCTTCCCCATAGCCCTTGTTGGGGGTCCCCAAGACCACCCTTGCTAAAAGGAATCACAAAAAAGCTGTCATGTTTCCAATTATGTCATTGCAGAGACA